CAACTTCAAAATGCTAAAACATATACATGCATACATGAATTAGCTCACAATTCAACTCTTTAAATTAATTCTTGACTTTAAACTCTAATTTTCCATGAACCATGCAAGAAATAGCTTGAATTCACAATTAAGAAGATGATTTCCTTACCTAGGTCTTGAATTCCAAGTATGGAGGTCTAATTTTGCAATTCCCCCTTCAATTTCTTCTAAGTCTCAAGCAACTCTCAAATGAAATCAAGTTTCTCCTACCTCCCTCTCTCTCACGGTTTTTAGCAAGAAGATGGATGAGAATGGTGCAACAAAATGATATAAAATCAATTAATGGCCTAAAGTGCCCACTAGTGGAAAAAATGCAAATAATTCAAGTTGATGTAATTTAACATTAACCATGCTAATTTAATCATTCCAAATCAAATTTAAATTAAATCTACCATAAAATCACATAAATTCTAACTAGCATAAAACACTAATCAATTTCTGATTCGGTCGTCGATAAGGCTTTCAATTTACAGTTCGAAATTAAAATATGAACAGATTCATTCAGAAATCAAACAGATAGAAATGCATTCAAAACAATACACTCATACAATCGATTCAGGATATCATTCTTATCAGTCACTTATCATGCTCAGTCACAGTTTAACATTAATCAGAGGTGAGGGTTGTCACAATAGGTCATAATTTATGCCTAAGAATGCCCGAGAAGAGATGGGGGCGAAGATATGTACTTAAAACATCTTTTGAAAACATGCTAAAAATAAGTTGTTAGCTAGAGCCAGCTGAAGGCATAAACTGAGCTTGTTCGAGCCACCATTTGGTCGTTCGACCTAGCTTTTTCAGAGTGCAAAATATTAGGAGCTCGCAACGTTGGCTCGAGCCACCATTTGGTCGCTTGAGCCAACTATGAATTTTCTGGGTTTCAAGATAGCAAATTTGAGTTCCAAAAATGCATTTTAACATGTAAAAACTTGCGCGGCCATTTCAAAGTCATGAAAACACTTTGATAATCATAAAAACATTGTAGAAAAGTCAAATACAAGATCATCCATAAAACATTTGCTCAAAACCTCATGAATTTACCAAAATTGAACTCAAATCTTCATGCATGTATAATCTAACTCGAATTCTTGTTCTATTATCTTCAAGATATGAAATTGAGTTTCATAATCTCATGATTCATGAATGCATATGTCAAATAACTCCCAATTTAACAAAATTATCATGCTTTATGCTCAAATATGAAGAATTATAGCAAATTTATGCATGTATGCACATATTGACCATATTTTTCATAATCTTTGCTCAATTCATACACTTAGCTACGTATTATCCTTGAATTCACATAATTATGAACTTGAACTTATGAATTAGAGTTCAATCACTTACCTAGAGCCTTTAATCTTTTCGGGGCGAATTATACTAATAATCCTTATAGATTGGGACTCGTTTCACTTTGATCCTTAACTTTTCAATTGTGACACATTGGATCTTGAATTTTGAATCTTATTTCAAATAAGGATAATTGAAGATACAGTTGTTTAATTTGAAGGACAAAATTGTTAATTTGATAAAATATAAACTAATTTGACAAAAATAAATATTAAAAAAATATTTTTAAATTTTTAAAAATTATTTCTACACACGAAAGATAAAATTACATAAAATTAATAAATTTTTTAGACATTTATTTATTTATTTATTTTTACCAAATTAATTTTTATTATGTGTTTGGATGATAATCATGTAATAGGTGGTTATTAGGATTTCAATGTGTAATCGATATATTTAATATATGAAACATTTTTAGTTTTGGATTTTTTTATTAATAGATTGGTTAAATAATGATATCAAAGTTGTGGCCATATTTGACTTTTGAAAAAATAGAAACTAATTTAATGAAAATAAAAACAACCATCCATTACATGATCATAATCCAATCACATAATACAAATTAATTTGGTAAAATAAATAAATAAATAAATATCTAAAAGATTTATCAATTTTACATAATTTTATCTTTAGTGGATAGAAATAATTTTTTAAAATTTAAAAATATTTTTTTGACATTTATTTTTCAAATGAATTTATATTTTATCAAATTGACGATTTTGCCATTGAAATTAAGCAATGGTATCTTCAATTGTCTTTATTTGGAACAACATTTAAAATTGAGGGTTAAATGTGTCACAATTAAAAAATTAAGAACCAAAATAACACAACTCCAAAATTACAGAGACTGTTAGTGTAATTCGCCCATCTTTCAAATTCTTGCAACTACTTGAGCCTAGTTCCAATATTCTTCAACTACTAGTTCAATTCTTCAAGAGTTGGCTCTCTCTCTCTCTCTGCCAAATATAGAAGATGAGTTCAAAATTATGAGCCTAGACACTACTTCACTCTTATATAGTAGGTGATTAACCAAAGTTAATTGACTATGGTTTAGTCTAATTAATAAGGCTTAATTATTTAATTTAATTTAATTAATTTGAATCAATTTTTAATTAAATTTATCAAAGTTGTCACGACTCGCTCCCCGTACTCAAGGGTTAAGTATCGTTATGGCCAGTAACTGAGGTTACCTATGGCCAATTCTTAAACAAATCAAATAACGCGAGTGGAAGTAATATTTAAATAAGGGTACCAAAGAACCATTGGAGCTTCTATTTTTATTACAAAATTGTATTGGTCAAAGGCCGATATTTACATATAAACATATCATAAAAATATTGTGTGTGTCTAATCCACAGTCCCGCATCTAAGACTTTCCAAAATCTATTTCTGAATTGCACTGTTTCCTGAAAATTGATAAACAACTATAAGCACATGGCAGAGTGAGAAATATTATACCAAGAATATAAGGGACACAAAATAACCATGGATAGTTATGTAGCCAAAACATTTGTATAACTCAGTTTGATACATAAATCATTAGTAACCAAATCATTTAAGTAGCAGAAACTAGAATACAGATATTATGTAAATATATCACCATAACCACGGTACTGAACAGAATAGAACAAAGGTCACAGAAGTGACAGTCAGAACAGAGGTACGGATTCAAGAGGTGGCTCGTACGGATTCTAGAGGTGGCTCCCACAATAGTGTATCACTTAGCTCCGTACAGTACTTTGGTCCGCACAGAACAGAGGTCAATGGATCAGAGAGCCACAAAGTAACCAAACAGAGGTCAATGGTTATTTAAGTCCCCCAAAGCGTGGGACTCTCGTGGTAGCACTTACAAAACATAATTGTTTATAAGGTCATAGTCAAATATTCTTTAAAATATAAACAAACATATCCATAAGTTTCCTTTTAAACAAATAGGGTTCAGAAATAAAACTACGTAACTGAAACCTTTATAAAATATAACTTTTATTAATATACTAATAAAACATAACTGGTGTAAAACAGATTTTGGTAAGTCAAAACATACGTAAAATACATTTTGATGACTCAAGATATATTATAACTCACCTTAACATTAATACCTCATTATTTCTTTCTACTATCGAGGACCCTTTTAACCTCTACCATTTTTTCCTTCTTTCTCTCTTTTCTTTCTTTCCTTTCTCTCTTTCTTTTCTTCTTTCTTTCCTTTCTTCATCCAGCCGAATCACCTCCTATTATACTAGGGAAATGCTTGCCCAACAAGCTTAAAGTGCACACGTGGCCAGTCCCCAATTCATCCCACAGATTTTGATAATAATTTTATTAATAATGATTCGTCCCCTTCAAAAGTCCCACCCCCACCACAGATTTTGATAATAATTTTATTAATAATGATTCGTCCCCTTCAAAAGTCCCACCCCCACCACAGATTTTGATAATAATTTTATTAATAATGATTCGTCCCCTTCAAAAGTCCCACCCCCACCACAGATTTTGATAATAATTTTATTAATAATGATTCGTCCCTCCTCAAAAAAGGTGGAAAAAAAAAAATTCGTTTAATTTTATAAAAGTTAATATAAATATTTTTTGAAAAAAATGATTACTTACATCATACACTTTATTAGTTTGACTTAATAGTTGATTAATAGATGAGCATTGCTACATCCATCGACTTTGGGCTTGTCTGAATTGTCTAAATTTGTGCATGCTAGTCATCTGTTTGGTTATCTTGGTAGTCATCCAGACGGATACTCGTTGACACACCAATTGAAAATGATGATAACGGTGACCCTAGTTGTCCGGACAATCATCCAACTAAACGTCTAACTTATGTAATCAGACAATACGAATGAGTTAAAATTTAATAAATCAATCATTTTTCTTAAGAGATAGATCATTTGATATGCAATTGAAAATTTTAGGGTAAATTGTAATTTCTCAGACGTGACAGTAAAATTTATATTGGAGTATTTTGAAAAGTTGGTAAAAAATTAATTTTTTACTTTTTTAATCTATTTTATCTTTTTTATAAGTAAAAAATATGAAGAATAATATAACATAAAATAAATAAAAAATTAAAAGCCAGATAAAAAGCTACTTCCCAAAAGTCCCTAACAATCTTAAGAGCATCTCCAACGGTTCATCAAAATTTTCATCAAAGCGGAGTAAAAAAGTGACTTTTTTCTCATTCTGAAACGGAGGGCTCCAATGGTTCATCAAATTAAATTTTCATCAAATCTTGGTCGACCGGTGAAGGCAAATTTTTTTTTTTTTAAAATTGTTTGAACCTTTTCAGTGAACTGTCTTAACTTTTTTTCGGGACGACCGGTTGGTCGACCGGTAAGGCAAAAATTTTTTTTTAAAACTATTTGAACTTTTTTTTTTGAACTATTTGAACCTTTTAGTGGTCAACCGGTCGGTCAACCGGCTGGTTTCCTCCAACAGTCAAGAACAGTGATTTGGTAAAATGCTGCGCCTGTTCTCATTTTGGTGAAAGGTTTGATAAATTCTCGATATCGATTTGGTGAACTATTGGAGTTTAAAAAAGTAATTTTTTTATCAAATTTTAAATTTGATGCCAAATTTAGCGAATCATCTGAGATGGCGTAATTTCCCTTCTTTCTACCTCATATATAACAATCCAAAACCCTAACCCTAACGAAGACCTTTCTTTCGCTCTCCATCGTCGCCGGAGTAGAACATACAACAACAGAGAAGCCAAACCACATTCAATCATGGGTGAGCTAATCATTTTCACTTTCTCTGTTCAATCTCGATTTCTGATTCAGAATTTATGGTTCAAATCTGAGTATTTTTTGCTGGGTTTGTGGATACAGGTAAGGTTCACGGATCGCTGGCTCGTGCAGGGAAGGTGAGAGGCCAAACACCCAAAGTGGCGAAGCAAGACAAGAAGAAGAAGCCCAGAGGTCGCGCTCACAAGCGCATGCAATACAATCGCCGTTTCGTCACTGCAGGTATCTCTCTCTCTCTCTCTAGGCTCTCTTCACTGTCTCTGTTATGGTTTTGCTTATCTATTTCTTGTTATGTAGCTTAGCATCAACAACATCGATTTGAGATTTAGTTTTTTGTGAATGCTTTGTGTGAAGGTCGTATTGATTTGATCTTGGTAATAATTTTTAAATTTGTCATGTATTGGATGTAGGGTTAATTATACATACAAATTTTTCCTGAAGATATTGCTCATGAATCCCCCAATATCAATTGGCTTGGTGGTTTTTTTTTTTTTATAAAAAAAAAAATACAAGACATAATGTCATAAAAAATTTATGGGTATATTACATCGATAGTCCTACATTTTGTCTCTCATGTTATTTTGGTCCTTGTCATTGCAATTAGCTCGATTTTGATTCTTAATTTTAAATTTTGTATCAATTTAGTCCAATTGATAATGCTGATTAGGATTTTGTGAAGAAAATGTCACTAATTTGATTGAGGTTAACTCACTAATAAATTTACAATTTTGCCTATAAAGGCATGGCACATGCGGCTTATGTGCACATTTTTCATCAAAAAATAGTAAAATTTGTAATCACATGCGGCTTATGTGCACATTTTTCATCAAAAAATAGTAAAATTTGTAATCAATTAGATCAATTGAAACAAAATCATAAATTTAGGGTTAAAATTGGTCCAGTTGAAATTATAGTGACCAAATTGACTCAAGGGCCAAAGTATAAGGATTACCGGTATAATTTACCCAAAAAATATTCTATTTAGAAATAATAATAAAAAACAATATAACACTAATTTTCAAAGTTTAAGAAAGAGCCGTTCATATGTATAAATCTATATAGGCCTTGTTTGGTTTGTATTTGAGAAACATGTTTTGAGAGAAAAAGTACGAAAATTTGTTTGGTTTGGTGTTTTTTCAAAAGATGTTTTGAAAAATTATTTTGAGAGAGAGTTTTGGAAAAAGTGATTGATTTGATGTGTATGAGAGAGAGATTTGTTTGGAAAATTTGTAAACCAAACAAGTTTTGGAAAAAAAATTTGGAAAAATTTGTTTGGTTTGATTATTTTTGAAAACTTATTTATAGAGAATTTTTCTCAAAATTTTTTGAGAAATACAAACCAAACAAAGCCATAGTTTTTTGTTTTTATGAGTGTATCCTCAAGTTTGTTTAACCTTATAATGTGTGTCATTTGTGTATAAGCAGCGATGATGGACGTGTGTGTTTTTCAAGGGTCCAAAATGTGGTTGAGTCTATAAACAACAAACATATAATCTATTGTGTGATGAGTGTCAGTGTTGGTGTCGGACATGAATACATACACCTTCTGAGAAGTGTCCATGCTTCTTAGACCAAAAGCAATGACTCACAAAATTTCCTGTGACTAAAACACCTTGTGCACACACACATACATGTGTTACCTTCAATTTTGTCTATGAGCTAATATTTCCAACCACATCTTGTCTATGCGTTAAAATTTTCTACCACATCATACATCCTTTGACATGTGTTTTTGGATGGTCCATTAAGATCATGGATGAATCCCACAGTTTCAAGCAAATTTCATGATGACTGCAGCAAAATGCAGTATAGTACTGTAGCCATTTAACATGTGCTGAGAACCACTGATAGTATGGATTCCCAGTTATCGTTTAAACAAGAGAATTTCTGAAGATCATACCTTATGAGCTTTTGCTGCATATAATGGAGGAACTTAATGAGATGATTGTAGGCTTGAAAAAAAATAGAAAAATGACAGGGAAAAAAAAAACGTTTACCTTGTGCTTTGAACAATGTTGTTCAAGATGGCAGTTAATATGTATATTAGCTGACCAATTGTTAGAGATTTCAGTTTGAGGACTTGAAGTTTGGGCAATTTTGTTTAAAGACTTTCCATTTTTAGTGGTAACATTGGTTGCAAGAATTTTATGTCAACTACCCACAATTCCATTGGTTTGCCGTCATTCTAGAGGGAGCTCAACTGATGGTCCAATTTACTGTTTTTTTTTTTTGTTCTTTTTGTGGGGTAAAACTAAGCAGGTTAATAGAGTAGCTGTTTGTTGAGAAATCAAAACTTTCTCATATACCAGTTTTTACTTCGAAGATACTTTAGGAATTGCTTTGGTAATGTCAATCTTTGTTGTTTAGTTTTTGTATCGATGGCAGAATACTTCTATTGTACATTGGCTGTGCCCTCGTGGGATCTTTTTTTTTATTCAATATACTACAGTAATCATGGGGAAAAAAAAACACAAACCAAGAAGTAGTGCTGCAAATCTTTGTTGGCTTCTACTAGTAATCCTTTCCAAAAGCAGCTAACATTATAATAATGGATAAGCAATGAAAAGTGTTGCATAGCCGTTTGATATGCTTATTTGAGATCCACTTGCGGTGATGAATGTTGTCTAATTTTTGTTTGCAGTTGTTGGTTTTGGGAAGAAGAGAGGACCCAACTCGTCGGAGAAGTAAATCTCAAGCTTATAGAGTTCTGTATTACAGCATAGTTAGGCCTCGTTTGGGAACAGGCTAATTTAGTAACTTTTTGGCTATTTGGCTAAAAAAGTAGGTAAAAAAAACTTATATGTTTGGGATGACTTTTTGGCTAATTATAATGGATAAGCAATGAAAAGTGTTGCATAGCCGTTTGATATGCTTATTTGAGATCCACTTGCGGTGATGAATGATGTCTAATTTTTGTTTGCAGTTGTTGGTTTTGGGAAGAAGAGAGGACCCAACTCGTCGGAGAAGTAAATCTCAAGCTTAAAGAGTTCTGCATTACAGCATAGTTAGTTTGATGTGGAACTTCACTCCTCACCACTTTCAGTTCATTATAACACTGGTTTGTTTGCCAGAGTGCTTTTAGTTGCATTTAATGTTTGTTTCATTTTGAAGCATTGTTTGGATTGTAGTTTACAAAATCCATACTTGAATATATGTTGATTTGAGTAATCTAATGATTTTGAATTATTGGGTCTTTGTTTGTTAAGCTGATGCTATTAATTTTGTTGACTGATTAAAATATAACAAAAATTGTTGGGCATTCGTTGAAACTGACTCGGATTACAAGTGAATTTGATCATTCAATGGAACAATATAAGCAAAGCAGGATAACTGCTACTGTTGACAGTCCCTCCTTATTGCCCGAATTATTAGTCGCAATGAACAAGGGAGAGGGTTCTGTCCTGTTGGCATCTACAATGGATCCTACATTTTTATAATCTGATACTAGTGTTCCACCTGAGCGAGATGTGTTTATAATTATTTATATATATATATATATATATAAATTGTGATTTTTAAATGTCTTTTTTTTTTCACACACAAAAAACAAAAAAACAAATACTGTATTATTTCAATCAATTATTTTATTTTTGCTTTTATTGAAAATTTAAAATTAATGTATGGATGGGTAAAATTTGTAACTAAATTAAGGGTAAATTTATTCTTAATAACATTTTTTTACCTCTATTTAATACTTAAAAAAATAAACTTGAAAAAGGTAGTCAATATAATATTATACATGAAGTAAAAAAATGTGGTTAGTAATTATACTTGCATAAATTTATTATAGTTTTAATTTTAAATTTTAAATTTTAAATATATATATATATATTATATAAAAGCATTTTATTTAAATAGAATTTTCTTAGCAAAAAGAAAGTTATAAAATTTTGTTATAAAATTTTAAATGTCTATTGTTAAATATGATACTTGTTTCCGAGTGTATTAGTGAAAATATCATACACTTAAAATGCACAAAATTATAATATATAGAAAAAAAGCAAGTAATTGTCAAAAGTAAAACTACTTTAAGGTCTCGTTTGGCATGCCAGTGTTTTAGTCTAAAAGTCAAAAAGGTACTTTGGGATGTGGGTTAGTTTTTTGCCTTTTTGACTATTTTAGCATGGGGCTAAAAAATCTCGTTTGGGATAAGTTTTTTTACTGTATTTTGGGATGCGGGTTAGCTTTTTGAGTTTTTTATTATTTTAGCATGGAGCTAAAAAATCTCGTTTGAGATAGACTTTTTGGTTTTTTTGATTTTTGTGAGAGAAAAAATAAAATAATTATGGTTTAGATGTGACATTTTATCTTATTAATTTTTTAGTCTATTTTTTCTTTTTTTGATTAAAATAGTCAAAAAGTCAAACCAGGCTTTTTGACATGCCAAACAAAGGCTAAAAAAACTAAAAAACCTATAATCTATACTAAAAAGTTAAAGATTCATTTTTCTCTCTAGTTTTTGCATATCTTTTCGTAAAAAATCAAAAAATCATTCCAAACATATTAATTTTTTTTATCCATATTTTAGCCAAAAAATACTAAAATAGTCTGTTCCCAAACAAGGTCTAAGAAAAAATAAAAAATAAATTGTTTGAAATAGAAAATGATTTATTTATTAATTTTAAAAAATAAACTTTTAAAGAAAACAAAGAAAACTATATAAAAAAAAAGTACATAAACCAAACATAAAATATAATACAAAAAATAAATAAATTATAAGATTTTCAAAAAGTCTTACTTGATTTTCGCATAATACTTCTTTCATAGTGTATCTCCAAGTGTATTAGTGAAAATATTATACACTTAAAATGCACAAAATTACAATATATATACATATATATAAAGAAGTAAGTAATTGCCCAAAACTAAAACTATTTTAAGAAAAAATAAAAAATAAAAACAAAAATGAAATTGTTTGAAATAAAAAATTAATTAATTAATTATTTTTTAAAACAATTTTTTAAAGAAGACAAAGAAAACTATATAATAAAAAAAAGTATATAAACCAAACATAAAATATAATACAAAAAATATATGAATTATAGAATTTTCAAGAAGTGATACTCACAAATAAATTTTATAAAATCTTGTTTATTCATATATTTTTTGTGTATATTTTTTTATACTTCTAATCCTGAGAATGATATTGAAATAGTTTACACTTCTTCCATTAGGTCCATCTAATAATTTTAGCAAATACAGATGTAATAAATTTCATAATACAAAATACAAACAATTGTGAGACAAATTATCTATAAAAAAAAAAAAAATGAAAACAGCATTCAATGAGGATGTAGAAGCACACCTGACGTTTTAATTGGAGGTATAACTAGATAAATCTCCACATAAGGGAAGACAACTTTTATTTTTCATCATAACAATTGCATAACTCAATATATAGATAGATATAAATTATAAAAATCATTTTTCCTTATATAATATATAGATAGATATAAATTATAAAAATTAAGTTGATTTGATATTCGATAAGCGGTGTTTGGGAACAAATTTTTTAGGTTTTTTTTTTTGTTTCTTTTTCACTAAAAGACAAATTGGTTACAAAACTAAAAAAAATAAATCCAAAAAAAATATCACATTAAATCTCATAATCATTTCACTTGTTCTTTCACAAATATCATATCCAACAAAAAAAAAATCTAATTATCTTTCCAAATACAAAAAAAAAAAAAAAAAATCCAATAATATCTTACAATTAAAAAAACTTAAAAAACAACTCACTTCTCAAACACTCACATTATGTAGCAAGAATAACAAATCAATCTTTTTTTTATGAATAATTTATACAAAGTGAGAGGGGAGATTTGGACCGGACTGTACGGCCGAGATACGGTAACGCAGGTTGGTCAAATCTCACGGTGCCGAGTTGTGTTCTCAGTTGGCGCGGCCCCCGACCTGTCGTGTACATCCGATGGGATTGGTCGACCAGACATGGATTGAGGCCTGACCGAGCTATGACTGGGAAGGCATTCGGTTGGACGCGCAGTGATTTGAGGTGACCGAGCTAAAGCAGCCCGGGATAGACTAAGGGCGAGGCGAGAGTCGGCATGCCTCTAACCCGTCAGCCAAGATGGCCCAGCTTCATATCACCAAGAATAAAGGTAGAACGGGGAAAGGCCGGCATGTCTTGCGGCCGGTCAACTAGGACTGACCGGTCCTACGCAGCTCGGCCATGAGCATCGCACTCTTGCCCCTTGCCAAGGGACAGATCGGCGATATATAGCTCGGTTGTGTTGTCTGTGGTAGCAATTCTCCACAAGGGATAGGTCGGTCGCGGTACTCCGGTTGAGTGTGCCACCTGGGCCAATGGCGTGAGGGGGAGGAAATCTGCTCCACGCACACGTCAATACCGTTTGGCAGTTCTGCGTGTACTGGTTGGAGGATTAGGCCTTTGCACGCGTAAGGTGGTGAGAGGGGAGCACTGCCGCCTGTCCAGGGGAGGACAGCAGAGGTAGTGTGCGCACAATCCTGAGGCTGCATGGCCAGCCTAAAAATAGGAGTGGAAGGTGAACGTTAGAGGTAAGCAACTTGCGCTATCTGAAACACACTCTCTCTCCCTAACAGCCTTCTTCTTCCTCAAGTGATCTGACTTGATCGTCGGAGGGTCTATCTGGCACACCACCGCTGGGTAGCTCACCGTTCTCTGTGTTGCCAGGTTAGACGCCGTCACGTGAAGCTTGGAGTCTAAGGAGTACGGAAAGCAGAGGATATTTTCCCCGTACAATTGGCGCCGTCTGTGGGAAGCTCTTTGATACTCAAACCTTGTTTTACAAGATTCTTCGACTATCCCCATGGCCAACAACGACGAAACTCAACTGTTCGTCGTCGATGGCGTCACACCAGAGTCTGTCCGACGGAGAGAAGGCCCCTCGAATGTTCCAGCCATGGCGGGCCTAGAAACTTCTTCGTGAGGTGCGCGAGACCAATGCGGAATGAGTACTGATCGCTCGAAGAGTCCAGAGGGCTGTCGGCGGCGGGAGGAGTCCCGTGCGCAGCGCCTGGAGCACAAACTCAAAGACCAAGGCGCCCTCATTCGCAAGATGGCGGCGGAGATGGAGATGCTGAAACGTCAGATTAAGGGGAAGGGTGTTGCTGGAGAGGGCAACCTCAGTGAGCGCACCCCGTCCCCCTGTTCTAGCAGCCGCTGCCAAGAGAGGACTCACTCTCTTTCCATCACCAGGAACTATGGGGTTGGAGATTCCGACCAAAGAGAGGGCAGATCCCTCACTCGAGACAGCACATGCCGTCCCTCAAGCCCGTCACCGACGTCGCGATACTCTTTCTCCACCCGTTCCAGAGACCTGAGGGATGTATTGGAGGAGAGTGCGCGCCATCGAGAGGCTTAGAGAGTGCCGGCGTTGCAGAGATTAAGCGCCCCAGTTCATTGTAGCGAAGAAGTATCGAAGAAGTGGTGATGCCAGCGCCCAGAGTGATGGCCCATGTGCCAGTGGACAAAGAGCTAGCGAGACTTACAGCCACACCGTTGTCTCCGGAAATCGAGAGTACACCATTCCCTGCCGGATTCCACCAGCCTAAGTTCACCTTGTACGACGGCAAGACGGATCCGTACATGCACGTGAGTCATTACCGACAAGTAATGGCTGGCCACCGGCGCAATGACGCCATGATGTGCCTTATATTCCCGGCAAGCTTGGGAGAACTGGGCTTGAAGTGTTTCGAAAGGCTCCCGGAGGGGAGTATCGAGGGGTGGCAGCAACTAGCGGAAGCCTTCGTTACCAGATTCAAAACCAACACTCGAACGCCGAAGGAGGTCGA